GGTTAGACAAGGTGATTTCTTAGGCATGGCTATTAAACTCTGTGGTCCTGAGTAGTGTCATTGAGATATCTTATGTTGCTTTAACCTTTTAGACAAAAACTATTTGAAAGACCTCGAGGAATGAGACCCATGACTTTTTTTCTTCTTATGTCTCCATCCTTCTCATCTTCCAGCACCAAAAGCAGCACTTCAAATATAGTAGATGCTTAGTAAATTAATTACTGAGTGATAGGGCACTACCACCGAATGAAGTGCTCGTGGATAGATTTGGAATAATCATTTCCATGTCTCGCTCATATTTAGCTTCTTGAATGCTCATTTCCTAAGAAGCGCTATACTTCTTAATGGTTAATGAATTGAAGCACCCCTTCCTGATTCCGTTCTCTGAGAAGGAGCTACATGGTTTTTATTAATCAACTGGATTATTTTGTCTTGTAAGGTATGGTTTATCAGAATAAGTAATATGCTCCTTAAATTTGTTTTGTCAGTATGTACTTTTTAGTCCTTTGGAAACTTTGGAACCCTGAGGAACTCAAATCCCTTCATGGAAATCAGGCAAAACATGCTTGGAAGAATTTGTCTTTAATGAATATGAAAGCAGTTTGCAAATGTCATACTTTTTTTCTGCTCTGTGACTGCGGACAAAATGCAGAGCCCTGGATCATGACTGGACAATGGGTTATAATGAGGTGGATAACCTGGCAATATAGCAAGAGTGGCATAGGCTTTGTCAGGTGGGCCAGGGTGCAAATCACATCCAGCCTCACTAGCTATGTGGCCTTAGGGTAGTTTTCTGACCTCTCTGGGCCTCAAGTTAATTATACTTTCTTTGCAGTGCTATTCCAAAATTTTTAAGAGTATATGTACTATGTCTGTTATGTGTTAATTCCCAACTATGGCCATTGTTAATATTATTACTTATGCAGTGATGTTGAGAATATAAAAGACATTCAAATGGTGGACTGAACACAGAGCCACATGGAAGAAGGCAAGCACAGCCTGGACTAGGTGTTAGGGCTACCCTCTAGCTTCCACAAAGCTAGCTAAGTGGAATCGCCTGATAGCAACCAAGCAGACACAATCTCCAGGGGCTTATATCAAAACCAGTCATACTTTAATACAGTCCATAAAAAAACTGTTCACTGTCTCCTGGTGTAATCCCTATGGCCAAATTACCATCTGGATATTCATGCATAGGTACATGCACTATGTTGGCCTCCTTGTCTTTTACCCCATACAAACTACCAGCTCTGCATCCCTTCCTCTCCATTCCAACCCTGCCTTGACTCTGGCTCTACTGCTTGTTTGCTGGATCCCTGCACTTGCCTCTTCTCCAGTCTCACTCCCCTACAAGTGCTTGTAAATCCTGCTGCCACAGTAGTGGCTCCCTGCCTCCCTATTGTCTAAAGGATAAATCATATTCTTCTGTAGCCCATACAAAATCCACCACCATTTCTCCCATCCACTTCCAGCCTAACCTCCTATCACTTCTTGCCATCATCTCCCCCATGCCAAACTCTAGTTCCCTAAGAATACTGATGTATTTATAGGTCCCAAACACTCCATGTTCTGTACTGTACTACAGTACAGTTAGTTCCTCCAGACTAGAGCCCTCCACTAACTTGTTCACTTGAGAAACACCTGCTGGGCTTTCACGAAGCTTTCCCTGATTCCTTTACTTGGCTTAGGTGCTCTCCTATCTACCCTATGCTCACCCCATCCTCCATATAAATCTTGCCAAAGCAATTGCCTTACTGCGGTGTAATGGTATGCCTGTTGGTTCTCCCAGAATTGGGGTATAAGGACCTTGCAAGGCTTCTTGATAATGAGAACTACATGTATTTTCATATTTGTGTCCCTAGGACCTAGCACAACATCTGGCCCACCGTAGATGTTCCCTAAATGATGATAATCATTTAGGTATCAGTCAGAAATGAGTGGCTGCAAGTGATAGAATAGTTGACTAGGAGTAGCTTGAAAAAATAATGAGTTATTTTCCACAGATAACAAGACTTCTGGAAGCAGGTGATTACTAGTGTTTATTAACAGTGTTCATAGATGCCATTGGGGGCCTTGGCTCTTTCTTTCTTCTTTCAGTCTATCCTCAACACAACAGCCAGAGTGATCTTGTTAGAATATAAGTCAGACCAGGGCACCTGGGTGGCTCAGTCGTTAAGCATCTGCCTTCGGCTCAGGTCATGATCCCAGGGTCCTGGGATCGAGTCCCACATCGGGCTCCCTGCTCAGCAGGAAGCCTGCTTCTCCCTCTCCCACTCCCCCTGCTTGTGTTCCTGCTCTCGCTATCTCTCTCTCTCTCTCTGTCAAATAAATAAATAAAATCTTTAAAAAAAAAAAGAATATAAGTCAGACCACATCACATCTCTATTCACAACCCTACAATGATTTGCTCAGAGGAACATCAAAACCCTTACGTTAGCATTTGAGGCCCTATCCAGTGTATGTCTGCTTTTCTTTTCTCTATAGTACTTATCACTATGTGACATACTATATCTTTCACTTATTATATAGTGTATATTATCTTTCTCTCCCATCACCACTAAAATGCAAACTTCAAGGAGGCAAATGATTTTATATGTTTTCTTCACTTCTGTATCTCTAGCAACTAAAATAGTTCCTGGCACATAGTGGACATTCAATAAATATTAGTTGAATAAATAAACGAATGGATCCTCAAGTAAAACCACAATGAGAAAGGAGAAATAACCAACACCACAGAAATACAAACAATTACAAGAGAGTATTATGAAAAACTATATGCCAACAAACTGGATAAATTCCTTGAAACATATAACCTCCCTGAACTGAAACAGGAAGAAACAGAAAATTTGAGCAGACTGATAACCAGCAATGAAACTGAATCAGTAATCAAAAAACCCCTGACAAACAAAAGTCCAGGACCAGATGACTTCACAGGCAAATTCTACCAAACATTTAAAGAATTATACCTGGTCTTCTCAAACTACTTCAAAGAACAAAAAAGGAAGGAAAACTTCCAAACTCATTCTGTGAGGCCGGCATTACCCTGATACCAAAACCAGATAAAAACACCACAAAAAGGGAGAACTATAGGCCAGTATTTCTGGACATAGATGCAAAAATCCTCAACAAAATACTAATAAACCAAAATCAACAATGCATTAAAAAAATCATTCACCATGATCAAGTGGGATTTATTCCTGGGTTGCAAGGGTAGTTTGATATTTACAAATCAATCAACGTGATACATCACATCAATAAAAGAAAGGATAAAAACTATATGATCATTTCAATAGATGCAGAAAAAGCATTTGACAAAGTACACCACCAATTCATGATAAAAACCCTCAACAAAGTAGGTTTAGAGGGAACATACCTCAACCAAATAAAGGCCATCTATGAAAAACTCACAGCTAACATTATCCTTAATGGGGAAAAACTGAAAGCTTTTCTCCTAAGGTCAGGAAAAAGGGATGTCCACTGTCACCACTTTTATTACTCTACTTAGTAGAGAAAGAAAAGTACTGGAAGTCTTAGCCACAGCAATCAGACAACAAAAAGAAATAAAAGGAATCCGAATCAATAAGGAAGAAGTAAAACTTTCATTATATATATATATAATGAAAGCCTGAAAGAGTCCACCAAATGACATACCCAATCAAAGGTTAGTATCCAAAATATATCAAGAACTGATACAACTCAACACCCAAAAAACAATCCAATAAAAAATGGGTAGAAGATGGACGCCTGGGTGGCTCAGTCAGTGAAGCCTTTGGCTCAGGTCATGATCCCAGGGTCCTGGAATCGAGTCCCACATCTGGCTCCTTGCTCAGGGGAGAGTCTGCTTCTCCTTCTGCCTGCCACAGCCCCTGCTTATGCTCTCTCTCTCTCTCTGACAAAAAAAAAAAAATCTTAAAGAAAAGAAATGATAGAAAATGGGTAGAAGACATAAACAGACATTTCTACAAAGAAGACATCTAGATGGACAATAGACATATGAAAAGATGCTCAACATCACTGTCAGGGAAATGCAAATCAAAACTACAGTGAGATATCACCTCACATCTGTCGGAATGGCTAAAATCAACAACACAAGAAACATAAGGTATTGGCGAGGATGTGGAGGAAAAGGAACCCTCATGCACTGTTGATGGGAATGCAAACTGGTACAGCCACTGTGGGAAACAGTATGGAGATTTCTTACAAAGTTAAAAATAGAATTATCCTATGATCCAGCAATCGCACTACTGGGTATTTACCCAAAGAATACAAAAACATGAATTCAAAGGAAAACATTCACCCCGATGTTTATAGCAGCATTATCTACAATAGCCAAGATACAGAAGCAATCTAAGCATCCATCGATAGGTGAATGAATAAAGAAGATGTGCTATAGGGGCTCCTGGGTGGTTCAGTCGTTAAGCGTCTGCCTTCAGCTCAGGTCATGATCCTAGGGTCCTGGGATCGAGCCCCGCATCAGGCTCCCTGCTCAGCAGGAAGCCTGCTTCTCCCTCTCTCACTCCCCCTGCTTGTGTTCCCTCTCTTGCTGTGTCAAATAAATAAAATCTTAAAAAAAAAAAAAAAAAAGATGTGGTATATAAGTACAATGGAATATTATTCAGCCATAAAGAAGAATGAAATCTTGCCATTTGTAATGACATGGATGGAGCTACAGAGTATAATGCTAAGTGAAATAAGTCAATCAAAGACAAATACCATATGATTTCACTCATATGTGGAATTTAAGAAACAAAACAAACAAGTAAAGGGAAAAAAAGAGAGCAAGACAAACCAAGAAACAGACTCTTCTAACTCTAGAACAAATACATGGTTACCAGAGGGGAGGTGAGTGGGGGAATGGGGTGAAATAGGTGAAGGGGATTAAGGAGGGCACTTGTTGTGATGAACACTGGGTGATGTATGGATTTGTTGAATCACTATGTTATACACCTGAAACTAATATTACATTATATATTAACGAACTGGAATTAAAATATACATACATAAATGGATCTTCCTGTTCACTTTGCTTGGAGTTTTGGCTTTGTCTTCCTCTTTGCTTCCTCTTTGGTTGTTGCTTTCCTGACATCATGCCGATGTCTAAGGCAGAAAGAAGAGGAGATGGGAAGAGTGGTGCCAAACACATGGGTCCCTTCTTAGCAGGAAAAAAACAAAACCTTTTTCAAAAGTCCCAGCCTGACTCCAGCTTACATCTCACTGGCTCAGGTTATGTCATAAGCTTCTGCCAGCAGTGAGAAAGGCTAGGAAAGCAAGGCAATGTTGCTTTCCTGAAGAAACCTGGGTTGGATACAGAATAAGTAACTAATGGGGTCTACTGTAAAACAGCCGAATGAAGACTCCAAGCCTTAGGAACAGAGTAGGAATGCACCACCTTCTCCATGAATCATCGCTGTATCTCATCCATTCTTTTCCCAGATGGCCTGCCTCTGGCCACTGGATTAACATGAAAGGGGCAGGCAGTCTGTGGTCAGAAGCCCAGGGAGTTCATCAGAGATATTAGTGTCTGATTCCTCGAAGCTGACCAGATAGCCAGCATATTACAGTGTTCAAATGATTGTGTCTCTCAGGCTCATAAGCATGCTTGGCCTGCTTATGGCATGCAGGCAAATAGCTTCTTCAGAGCCTCTGAACTTGGTCACCAATGACCAGCACTGTCTAGCCTCTGGGTCCTCATACTGTACACCGCTAAAGAAACTCTGGCAACAATTAAAGTGCCTAAGATGGGTCTAGTCACATAGAAATATTGATGCAATGTCCTCCAGGCTTGCTGTGTGATTTCCCTGGAAATAAGAGCCTTCTTCTGACCAGTGTACCTGTGCTGCTTACATCCTCCAGGAGGTAACTGAAACTCACTTGAACTAGGAGAGAACCGTGTGATGTTTTCTTGAATCTTGGGCCATGGTTCTCATGATATGTGTAGCAGAAGCCAGTCCAGGGAGAAAAGTCAAGTCAATAGAAGGTGCCAGGACCTTGAATGTTGAGGCCTGAAGCAAGGCATCATGATGAAAGTCCTTTCAGTTATTCCAGGTCTCACCGTGATTCCATCATGACACTTGTAACTTTGTTCTTCACTAGGTTAGGAGCCCCATGAGGACAGGGACTGTGCCCGTTATTTTTACCTCTAGCATGGTGGGTGCTCAACAAATGGGCACTGAATGAATGAATGACAGATTATCTGAAAACAGAGTATGACTGGAGGGTGGGAGGGAGTGGCTCGAGGGAATCCCATCTACACCGTAGGCTGCACAGCACTCCTCCACAGCCTCTGCATTAAAATCAAAAGATTATACCCAACTTCAAACTTACTTAGATTTTCTTTTCTACGTTTGCTGACCTAGCTCCTTAACTTCAAGATTTTTTGTCCATCGTTGCCATTGAAAAGAAAGGAAAAAAAAAATGCCAGATTGTCCACAGAATTTGAAAAGTTATCAGATAGTTCAATATCAAGGTAGGTCACTCACAGTACAAAAATTCCATTATTCTTTGATTCCTCCTTAGCTTTTTAATGTGAGAATATTCACCATTCAGGGGAAGAGCCTTGATACAAGTGAGACTGTTAGTATAATCCCTAAACATCTCTAATTAAACATGATTTCTTTTTAAAAGTAATTATAGTGTCTTCAGTAGCTAATCTTCCTCTCATTTAATTAAAATATCTGTCATTTTCTCAGATGTGACATCTGAGCACAGAGTCCCAAACCTTGCTAAAAGAGGAAAGGCAGGGGCGCCAGGGCGGTTCAGTCAGCTGAGCGGCTGGCTCTCAATTTTGGCTCAGGTCATGATCTCAGGGTTGTGAGACCAAGCCCTGAGTCAGGCTCTGCGCTCAGCAGGGAGTCTGCTTTAGATTCTCTCTCTCCCTCAGCCCCTCCCCCTTCTCTAAAATACATAAATAAATCTTTTTAAAAAATGAATAAATAAAAGAGGAAAGTCATTTTCCCTGTATCATGTCCTGGAGTATTTCCAGGGCTTGTAATGGTAGAAAAAAGATCCTCTCCTGTCTCTTATGTCAGCCAGTGGCATTCTGTCCAGACTGTTCCCATACACTCCCACTCAAACGAACTGCATTTAAAGAGAATACGTTCTTAACCTGAACACTCCATCTGATTTATAACATTTCTTTCCTGGCCCCCCAAAATAAGAAGCAAGCAAGCAAGCAAGCAAGCAAACCTATAATTATAATCCTTCACAATCATGACCATCCTTAGCCTTGGGAAGTTTGTCAGTGAGGTGGATGAAGAGAATTGCTTTTCAACTGTGCCGTGTTAGATATCCATGTGGCCATGGTCTCTGCTATTGCTTCTTTCTGCTGGAAGAGGTGCAGGAAAGACAAGGTGCGTATGAAGTAACTGTCTATATAGGACTGTCCTATGTGATGTGAGGCCATGATCTGGCTGCCTCTTACAGTACAGCTTTTCATTCCAGGATAGGCCATTGTGCTGGCTGTTTTGGATGCAGTTTGGCATGAGCACAGAAAGTCCATACAACCACCCACAACTTGATCTACTAGTTGTGAACGGAAACTTTTGAACACGTTCCACCAGCTGTACAATGGTACCATTTATTACTTTATTCTCAGGGGAAAACATTTGCTGTGTGAATAATACCAGGGACTTATGTAAGCCTCTTCATTTTCAGGGAGCTTTATGGGTGTCAGCAAATTCACACAACACCGTGGTAAGGTAGCAAGGCATTGTTATGCCTTCTTTACAGAGAGAGAAACCAGATCACAGCATCAGATTTTCCCAAGGCCACATGGACAATAAGGGGCATGGACTCATTTCCAGAGAGACCCAAACTCTTCTGCTAGAGATCACAATTTCCCACTTAGAGAAAGACTCCACAGGATTGTATCCTGGATCTAACACTTGAGGATAATTGCTCTGACTTTCAACAGTTCTAATACTGCCTCATTCTTTGGTTTTTTCCAGATGGATAAAAAGGGAAAGACAAGATGGGGTACCCATATAGGATAGTGTGGAGGTTTGTCATCTCTCATATACCTTGTCATTGAGGAATTGTCCAATCTATAATCACAGGATCACGGGGGGAGGTGCTGCATATCCATAAAGCTCCATGAAGTAAAACGGAAATTTTCTACAATATAGGTTGGATTTGTTGATTTCAGTTGTTACTTAGGAGATTGAGAAAGAGTCTTCCTTATCAGCTCTGGGAACATGCTAAATACCTCTGGAGTGGGTTGAATTGTAGCTTCCAAAAAAGTATGTACAAGTCCTAACCCTCATACCTGTGACTATGACCTTATTTGGCAAATGGGTCTTTGCAGGTGTAATTAAGGATCTCAAGATGAGATCATCCTGGATTTGGGGTGGGTCTAAATCCAATGACAGGTGTCCTCATAAGACAAAGTCAGAGAGAGATCTGAGATACAGACACACAGAGGAGAAGGCCATGTGAAGACAGAGGCAGAAACTGGAGTTATTCAGCTAAAAGCCAAGGGAATTTTAAGAGCTGTCAGCAGCCACCAGAAGCTAGGAGAAAGGCATGGAATGGATTCTCCCTTGGAGCCTACAGAAGAACCAACTCTGCCAACACCTTGATTTCAGGCTCTGGCCTCCAAAACCGTGAGAATAAATTTGTCTTTAAGCCACCTAGTTTGTGGTAATTTGTAATAGCAGCCCTAGGACACTAATACATCCTCTTCGCTTCTTCTCCCAATACTCAGAATCATATGAGTTTTAACTCAATTCAAAGCTAAAAGGTCGGGGTGCCTAGGTGGCTCAGTCAGTTAAGCGTCTGACTCTTGATTTCAGCTCAGGTCATGATCTCAGGGTCATGAGATCGAGCCCCATGTTGGGCTCTGCACTGGGCGTGGAGCCTGCTTAAGATTCCCTCTCTCCCTCTGCCCCTGCCCCATGCACACCCTTGCTGTCTCTCTCAAAAAGAAAAAGAAAAAAGCTAAGTACATACAATGACAAATCTTTTAATGTGTGTGTGCCAGTGGTAGAGGGTATTAAAATTCTAAAATGGTTGAAAATTACTCTCCTAGATAACCAATATTAGTGAATGAAGAATTGGATTATCTTGACTTACTCCACTGTGAAGGTAAAAGGGACAACATGAAGAGAAGAAAAATCAAGAACCAGTGGAATGAATTCAAATTTGATCACAAAGCACCATAGTTTTCATACCTTATCTTCTTCAGGCCACTGCCCCAAGGAACACAAAGCAAAGCACAGTGTAGCCTTTAAAAATAATAAGGTTATAATTATTATTAACTTAGTAAAAATTTATTACACAACTTCAACTATTACAGAAATTCATAATGTAGAAAATATCAACCTCCAATATGGTACACTTCCTCTAATTTTTTTCCTCTCTAAATATATGAACACTCTCTGTCTCTCTCCCCAACCTTTTAAGAACTGGAATGGAGAAAGGGTCTGCAGGATAGCCTGGTGTCTACTAGATTTTTGGCCTAATTTAGTTGGATTAAAGGAATGCCTGCTGAGTGGTCCTGAATATAAGTCCTATTTCTTGCAAACCTTGGGTCAGGCATAAAACTCTGAGTACACATATTTGATGTGAGATTACACTTTTGCTTAGAACATAGATATATTTTTTCTATTTTTCTATTTTTTTTTTCCTATTAAGGGCTAGATATATTTTTCCTATTAAGGGCTAGATAGTAAATATTTTAGGTTTTGTGGGCCATACGGTCTCTGTTGCAACTAATGTCTGCTAATAACAGTAGAAAATCAGTCATAAATGATATGCACATGAATGACCATGGCTGTTTTATTACTATTTTATTGCTGCATAGCAAATGACCACAAACTTAGTGGCTTAAAACAACACTCATTTAGTAATTCTAGTTCTATAGGTCAGAAGCATAGGTGGGCTTAGGGTCTGACAGGCCTGATAGGAAGGTGTTGGCCAGAAGGGCTCTCATCTGCAGGCCCTGGAGAAGAATTTGCTTCCATACTCACTCAGGGTATTAAAAGAATCCTGCTCCTTGGAGTTGTAAGACTGATATCCCAGCTTCCTTGCTGCATGTCAGTGGGGGCCATTCTCAGTCCTCAGAGGCCTCTCTGAGGTCTCTCATAGTCTGTTCATAATATGAATGTTGTTCTCTTCCAGACCAGCTGGAGGACATCTCTAACTTCCTCTTCTATTCCCAGCCAGGGAGAACTCTTTACTTTTAAAGGGCTCATATGATTAGTTCAGGCCCATCTGAGTAATTTCCCCAAAGACTAACCCAAAGTCAACTGATTGGTAACCTTAATTATACCTGCAAAAATCCCTCTTACCATACAATGTAACCTAATCACAGGAGTAAAACCTCATTATATTCAGTTTTTGCCTACACTCAAGGGGAGGAGATTATACAGGGGGGAACATCACTGGGGTCATTTTAGATTCTCCCTACCACGGCTGGGTTCTACTACAGCTTTATTTATAGACACTTAATTCTGAATTGAGTAAAATGTTCACATCTAACAAATATACTTTTTAATTCTTTTTCAACCATTTAAAAATGTACATACTATTCTAAGCTTGTAAGGTTGTACAAAAACAGGCAGAGGGCTGGATGTGGTACAGGACCTGTGGTCTGCTGACCCCTGGGTTAGAGGATCAGATAAACAAACCTTACAGGAACACCAAAAGAGTAATTTTCATAATATCCCACAAAGTGCCTTCTTCACAGTAGGTATTCAGTGAGGGCATGAATGAACAAATACTGGGTTCCAGAAAAGACTGAGGAAATAAAATGCACCCCAAAGCCCTGGTACAGAGTCCACTGCTGTGAGTAGAGTAAAAATAGTTTTACTTTTGAATATGAGACCAGGCATGACCTAGGGGAGGCCCAGGTGGCCCAGAGCTCAGACCAGAGCACCATTTTCCTTGGGCTCCAAAGAGAAAGCACTGTAATTACAAGGGTTATGTAACAGTTAAAGTCTACCCAGCACACTTTATCTTATCACTGGACTAAAAAGCCAAGCAAAACTCAGCAGTCTCTCTCTCAGATGCTGGACTTTGGATCAGAGGCTTGTCTGGCTGGGCAACAGTGCTATAGTCCAACTGAATGTCACTGCATTTCTTGGTAAATGAATAAGGTGGGAAAGGCTTCGACCATGTTGCAAGTCAAATGCATAGAAAATACAGGGCCAAAGAGAAAATTTAGCACTGCTGGGTGAGATCTCTTATCCAGTACTAAAGGACCCATCTCCAGCATCTTCTAAGTGGATATATTTCCTGGGATGATGGGAAAAATCAGAGTATTGGCTGAGACCACATCAGAGGAATAGTATTCACTCTGGAAAATCTGGGAGAGAGTGTTCCAGTCCATGAACTACCCAGAACCCCAGATTCACAGAATGTTAGGATAAGAAGGAATCCGAGGGACCACCTGCTTCAACTCTCATCTGCGGGAAGAAACCAAATCTTGAGACATTAAATTACTTTCCCAAATGTCCCAAGCTAGTTGGTAAGAGCTTAGGAAGAGCCTATTTATTGTGATTCCCAATAAAATACTATTTGTGCTCCATCTTCTCTTCTTCATTTGTCCCAGGTCCTCATATTTTTGTGCTGGTTAGCATTTTGGCCAGAATTGTGCCAGAAAGTATTGTTCCTTGCTGCTCCTCCCACTGTCACAGCACCTCCCTGGGCTGTTGTCACTTTTTACCTTGTATTTTACAACCCTAAAGAAGGTGCTCCCTGCCTAGATTTTCTTAGGTCATTCTTTCCTGGTTGCTATGTTACATAACACATCCAGGCTCCTGGTAAAGAATCAGAGCCTTGAGAGCAGCCTGGTTTGGTTTGGATAGAGTCTAGTTTAGGTCAGAGCAATCCTTGCATTAAATATCAATATCCAAAGAAGATGGGAAGAGGTTTCTAAAATATTTATTTGTATTTCTAATTTATGGCTCAGTTTTCCTTAAAATGAAGAGGTCTGATTGCTCTGTGCCACCCTAGCAATACCCTAAATCTTTGGAGAATATGCTTCTTGTTGGATCCCCTAGCAGTGAAGGACATCTTTCCTTGTCCAACCTGTCCCCAGTTTTTCAGGCCCCCTGGGGTTTCTCTCCCATTCCATGTACTTAGCCCCATCCCCAGGCCTCCTGTACATCAGCTTTGGAGACCATAATCTAGGAGCGTTAAGTGCTGAGCTCCCACCAGGGAACTCTCTGGACTGCAATTCTCTAAAACCCTTCTCTCTTGCAAGGCCTCAGCATGGCTCAGGCAGGATCTCTAAAGGTTTCTGTGCCAGTGGTGCCCATCCTCCTTTTCTGCTCCTTGGTATTCCTCGGTCCTGCTTGCTATCCTTCCATAGCATGAGAGGGAAGTCATAACCTTTCATCAGCACAGGGTCCTTCCAGCTCTCCACCAAAATTATGTCCAGTTGTCTGCACCTTTCTCATCATCAGCTATGAGGATGTGGAGATTTTTGTTATATTTGGTACTGCTCACTGGGCTTTCTCTTCCTCTCACTGTTAAAACTCACTTGTTAGATCTGCTTTGCTGTGATTCTGATACTGTCTCTTGTGTCACCACTCTTATCCAACTCACTCTTTTTGTCCCCCAGAGCCACTACTCATGAAGACCATGGACTAGCATGCCTGGGTAGGTTCAGAAGGCCCTGCACAATTGACATCATGAAGTCACCTACAGAGAGCTCCCTCTCTGCTAAGAGTTCCAGGAACCAACTCTGCTGTTTGCTTGCTCAGGTGGGGCCTCTGCCCCCACCCCCTACCCAGGGCACCGTCAGTGGGGATTAAGAAGCAGTCTCTGTACCCCCAGCTCTCCCCACATGCATCACAGATGTTTCTTGAGGAAAACTACTGCAGCCTCATGGCTGCCAGTCCTGAAGGTCCTAGGACCCCCATTCTGAGGCTCCTTGCTGGACTCACTGTCCTCAATCCTCTTTCTCTTTCCATTTTCCGAGGACAACTGCATTCATGCAATGAAAGCAATGCCTGTATTGTTGAAGCCATGGCTGTCTTCACACACAACACTGACCTTTCTCTTCTGGATCCTGTAACATGGGTCCTGAATATTTTGCTCCTATCTTAGCAGGAGAACTCCTGTCTCAGTTCATCCTACAGGAAAGATACAGGCATTTCCTGTTATTATTTTTGCCCAGAAGTGTTTGAACCTTTCAAAAAAAATCCTTTTCCTCTTTTATAAACAAAAATGCTATGCTCGACCACCCAGCAAAATCTTGACATGACCTTCCTAGGGGGATGAGACCCTGCCCCCATCAGGTGCTCCCTCAGAAGGCTCACTCACTGATGCCTATTCCCTCCAGCTAAGAGAATTTGTCAAACTTTGCTTTGTTTACTTATGTTACAGGAACAGAAGACTTATATTGATTCTCAAGTTATGAAATTCTACTATAATATGAAACACCTTTTTTTTTTTTCAAAGTATACATACATTTCCTTCTAGAAATGCTGATACACATCCATAGGAACTTTATCTATTTGAAAAACAATGCTATAAGATGTCAGGGTAACAAAGGGAAGGTGTGAAGGTCACACAAAGAACAATTCTGTGGGACCCAGAGAGAAAAAGAAAAGAGTCCCATCATGAAACTACCTTTTTGAAAACTTTTCTGGCCAAAGAGTGTTCTCAGAAATGGGTATATGTTCTGTCTCAACCTGCACACCAACCCAATAGGTTAGAAATAGCACATCTCTGCGTGTTATGCAATATACTGCCCAAATGAAAATAGTTTTCACCCCAACTCCAGAAAAGTCCTGCTTTATAAATTTCTTGTTTCTCATGCAATGTGTTCAATATGATGCTCTTCTATACCAGCTCATCAATTTTGTCAATTGCCATTAGTAGATCCTTGAGAAGCAATGCAAAGACCTCCAATCCACAGAGCCTGACTACAGGCATATGTATGAACTCAGAGCCCCCAGCTAGGAGCAAGGAAGGGCTATATGTGTGTATTTTGGGGGTGGGAAGTGGGACCTGGTAGAATCCCAGAGATCACAGGCTGCAGGGCTCTCTTTGAACATGATCATTTTTAAACTTTGCCTCTCCCTGAGCAATAATGAGGTCGGAGACGCAACATAATCCCAGGGTATGAACAGGCATGAGGCTTCAATTGCTCCAGCTAGCAGAGGTAAGAAAAGAATACCAATACGACAACTCCACAGACATATGGCACAAGGGATCATTACCCAGGCTGCTCAACTCTGCATGGTCTAATCTGCCTTGGCCCCATAAAGCACCAGTGTATAGTTTAACACAGCTGGACCCACTCTTCAGAAGCATGTTGCCGTGGCTAAGGTTGTGCTGACCTGAAAGAAAAGAAGAAAAAGAGATGGTATTAATGGCTCCCTTTCATGTCAACAGGATTTAATGAAAAAGGAACAGAGGGCTTAGTCGTTTTTTAATTCCCCCAAACCTTACCATGTATCCAGGATATTCTGGGTTCCATTTAGTATTTGATTTGAGTTTTAATTATTTTAGTAATAGACAAAGTAAAAGCTGAGTAAATCACATGCACTAAAATCCTGAAAACCTTTCCCAACCTAAAAACAGTCAGCAACTTTTCGCCTACATTTTACATGAGGAAAAACAAATGTTTCCATGAAGCGTCCCAAATTCTTAGACGAATCAGAGATAAGAAGCTCCCACCAGCAACTTCAGTGTCACTGGCCCAATTCAGCAGTTTGGGCTTTGGCAGCAGTCCCACTGACAGGACAGAGGACTCTTTGGGAAGACAGGCGATTTGAAATGCAAGTGTTATTTATAAATTATCTCCAGATGGTCCAGTTCCTACAATTCCTAAATTGCTCAGATTTTCAGAGTGGAAATTTTAATCATAGACATTTGAGGTTGATTTGGTTTAAGCTGGGGACAATTTTGAGAACTCAAATGACAAAAAGAAGGTGAATGAGTCTGTCCAGGACTGCTCAGGAGACTTGCCCTTGCTCACGGTGTCTTGGTTGATCAACACTTGCCTCCTGCTTTCCTCAGACTCCCAGAGCGGCCTTGCCCTTTGCACCTGGGAGGAACTGCTGAAAATATCCTCTAGGGAAGGAGCCAAACTGAATAGTTAATTTACTGTTAGAGTATATCTCGCCCCCCACAACCCAGCACAGGATAGGTATTAGAATTCCAGTGCTATCGGTTTCTCTCAAGTACTTCTCAGCATCAGGAGTTAGGTCTGATCTACACTTGGCCATCTCCATTGCTCTCTCCCCACACTTCCCTCCCTCCCCTTCCTCGTTTCATTCCTCCCTCTCTCAATCCCTTCTCTTTCCCTTCTCTCCCTTCCTTTCTCCCTTCTATCCTTCCATTGTTTTTTCCATTATTTCTTCCATTTATCCAACAATTGTTTATTAAGCACTTACTATGTGCCAGGCATGGGGCTGGGTGCTGATCAGAGGTCAAAACATACTTTCTTCAGATACCAGCAGACAAAAAAATAGGACCTGAGTCCTCCCTCATCATAGAGCTTTGTAGAATCACATCAATTCCAGCACATGAGAGTCCATGTACGCAAAAGAAAAAAACTTTACCATTTCTACTTCTACCAATGATGAATTCAAGATTCTGAGGAAAGATGATCTGCCCAAGATTATAAAATTACAAATGAAGTTGGGGAGGGGTGGGCAGCTTTCTTAGGCCTCCAGACACAGTGGCCATGATTCTTCTGTGTATATTTTTGGTTTAGCTGAGGAAAAAAGAAGAAACAGAGGGATGGCCATGTGTTATCAGGCCTATTCAATGGACCACAGTTGAAGGAATGGCTTTAAATCATAGTCAATGCTGGGCTCAAAGCAGACATTTAGACTTTAGAATAAGTGATCCAGAGGATCATTAAGAAGGGACGTTCATTATTTCTCAGGTTCATCTACTTGTAAGGATAAAATACATAAAAACTGGACAAGAACAGTTACCTAAAGAAAAAATGACTGAGATAGCAAGGAAATCATAGCAACATAGGTAATATAGGTATGTTATTCATTTGGAAGGCTAATTGCTGGCATCATACATGCTTGCATAACTGATTTACAAATTAATTCTCTAGGAAGAATAATACAGCGGTTATTCTAGCAATGATGATTGCCACAGATACAAGAATGCAATAATGAAGAAAGTAGGACAAAGAGAGGTAGCCCAGGGGCTTTCAAACTCTAGTACACATCAAAATTACCTAGAAGGCTTGTTGAGACATGCATCAATAAATAGGCTCACCCCAGAGTTTCTGATTTAGTAGGTGTGGGGTAGGGCCTGAGAATTTGCATTTCTAGTAAGTTCCCAGGTGGAAATTCATGCTGCCCCTCCATCTGGGAACAAAGTGATAATCCTGAGTTAGAGACCCACTTGGGGAAGAGCATGAAAGGGCATGGCATGATGAGCAAAGAGGGGTGCAAGAGGCACATGACTGAATGTAGTGGGTATCCAGTGTTGGGACTTTGAAAAAGGATGTGGATGAGGTCATAGAGAACTCTGAGAGCCAAGAAAGAGAAGGGAAGAGAAGGGAAGGCAAGGGAAGGGAAGGGAATAAGGGAAAGAAGAAGGAAGGAAGGAAGGAAGGAAGGAAGGAAGGAAGGAAGGAAGGAAGGAAGGAAGGAAGGAAGAAAGAAAGAAAGAAAGAAAGAAAGAAAGAAAGAAAGAAAGAAAGAAAGAAAGAAAGAAAGAAAGAAAAAAAGGAAGGAAGGAAGGAAGGAAGGAAAATTTTTTTAAAGCAAGAGAGAGACATTAAATGTTTTGATAAGAAGCATAGTAGATGTCACAACTTGTGTTTTGGAAAGATAACTAGTGACAGGTGAGGGGTTTGGGTCTCTTTGAAAGCAGAAAAATTTGGGCAGAATCTGTGGCTATTCTGTGTAATTTCTTGATACAGTAAACTGAGAGATAAATTAAGTGAAATGATACAAAATAGATGGAAATAATTTAAAAAAACAGTATTATAATCTAATGACATAATGTTATTGATTTATCATTAAAATATATTTTTAATTTAAGCAATATATACTTTTTATTAAGATTTTAGGAATTACAAAAAAGGAGAGGAAAAAAATTAGTCATCCATATTCCCACCACCTCCACACAACCTCTAGTAATTTTTTTTAAAGATTTATTTCTTTTTAAGTTTATTTATTTATTTTCTTAGTCATCTCTACACCCAACGTGGGGCTTGAACTCAAGACTCTAAGATCAAGAGTCACATGCTCTTCCAACTGAACGAGCCAGGTGCCCTAACCGATAGTGATTTTTTAGTGTATTATCTCTATTGTCTCTTCTTTTTTATGCCCAAGAGTATTTTGTTGTGTTGTGACCACAATACAGATAAAAGTTTTTCCTACCTTATTTTATACACATTATTTTCTTAAATCATTGTAAGCTTTTGCTAAACACAATTGCCAAACACATACGCTACAGCAGATACTGCTGTTTACCTGTCTAATAGTCCTATTCCAGATCTTCCCTGCTGGCTGAATCCAATATTTTTTGGCCTACACCTCCCTTATTTGACGTAAGCAAATCTTCATTAATATAGAACAGTCAAGGTAGTTCTCTCTTAACCAGTAACTGATGTAATAGCTTTCTTTCAGAAAGTGGCAATGTTTTTTACTTTGACAAAGTTCTCCGTGACTGTAGTAGTTTGAAAAATGGACCCCAGAGCTTTCAGATCCTAATCCCTGGACCTGTAAATGTCACCTTATTTGGAAAATGGGCCTTTCCAGATGTGATTAAGTTAAGGATCTTGCTGGATTATCTGGGTGGCCTTAACTGCCATCACCAGTTTCCTTATAAGAGAGAGGGTTTCCACAGCACACATGCCAAAAATGGAATACTATAGAGAAGATAGCATGATCCTGCACAAAAATGACAAGGATTTTTTGTGAAAAGTTCCACATTTAAAAGAGAGAGAGAACCAAAGGGAGGTTTCACACAGGCACACAAAGAAGGTGATATGAAAATAAAGCAGAGACATTTGAAGACTGGACTGAGGTGGCCACATGCCAAGGATTGCCAACAGCCCCCAGAAGGTGGAAGAGACAAGGAATGGATTTCCCCCTAGAACCTCCATAGGGACCACAGCCCTATCAATGCCTTAATTTTACTGATTTTGGACTTGTGGACTCCAGAACTGTGACAGAATAAATTTCCATTGTTTTGTATTACCGAGTTTGATGTCATAAGAGCTGCAGACAACTAACACAGTAACTTACTCCAAATAATTCTTGAAATGTTCTGTCCCAGTTCTGGTCAATAAGACATGGTCTATGAAATGGAAGGTTCTTCTTGGAAAGATTTTCTTGCTCTTAGAAAAAGAGATGTGGGGGGAGGGTAGTCTAATTTTTCTACTGGATGTTATTGCATCTACCTATAACATTAGAACTGTGGCAGCCATCTTGTGACCAGCCATCAGGTGAGCCTGAGAACAAGCCAATGAGCCAAAGGTGGGAGAGCAGAAAGATGGAAAAAACCTTGGGCCTTTGATGACATCATCAAACTGCTTTAATTAACCAGCCCTGGGACTTTCCTATTATGAGATTTCTTCTTATTCAAGATAATCTTCTTACGTGAGATTAATGTGATTTTTAGGCTATCTTTGGTTGGGTTTTTCCTTACTTTCAGCTGAAAGCAACATACCAGATGCATGCATCAAATGGATTACACCATAATTAAGAAACTGGCCAACTAGGGACCTGAAAACTACTGCCTGACTTTGTAAATAAAGTTTTATTGGAACACAGTCTCACTCACAGTCTGCTGTCGTTTTTTGCGCTACAATAATAAAACTGAGTAGTTGTGATGGAGATCGAACGGCCCACAAGCTTAAAATGATGCTATCAGGACCTATCAAAGAAAGTTTGCAAACTCTTGCCATTCTTGAACACATCCATTCCTTTATTGTTGCATATTGTTTTTCTAGTTTCTCTGAAAACTGTCTTCCTTACATACATTTAAAACCTGTCACTTGACCACATTGCTGCATACACACCAAGTGCTATACATGGACAAAGGGTTCAATAAGAAAATAAATAACACACTCATGGAAACAATTTACAATCATCTCCTACTTCATCTGTGATCTTACCAGAGTTGGCCAATGGTTATGATTAACATGTGAGACTGCATTTTCCACATATATATAAGTACAGGTGATTATAAAAACTAATTCAAAACTGTAGCCTAATCTAGAAGAAAAACAAGAAAAAAAAGCTTTTCTTTCCCCTTTTTAAGTTTAAATCAGCCAAACTAAACTTCCTCCAGGGCTGAATGATGTTGGTGGGATGTATATCACGGTGAATGTTATTACAGCTGAGAGAGAAGG